AAATTTAGCATTTTAATAAATAATAAATTGTTTTCTCGATCACATAATCTTTTATTTGATTTGAAAAAAATGAGTATAGAGAAAATGTTGGGAATAAAGTAAAAATAAATAATGATCAGCTCTAACTTTTTGCTGAGCTTATGTAGTGGGAATGAGGAACTATAATGGAAGGCTTGGAGTTTATTTGCAATTAAATGCAAGCCTTTGTATACATAGATGTTCGCAACCATTTGCCTCAAGGGAACTTGCTAATCAATAAGAGAAAAAAGACCTTAATTCATTAACACCGGCCTAAACAGCTCCTTGTTCAGCAACAGAGGGTGTCCAATCTAGACTGCTGCTGCGAATAGTTAACAAAGTATTGGCACTTGAAGTGCTACTTGATCGTGAAAGGCGGCAGGAGCCAGTGCAGGAGAAAGTAGGCTTAAAACGAAGGTAGGCAACAATACCAGTTGGTAGCCCAAGTGTTTCGAGTTGCCACTCTGAATAGAGCTGAGGAGCATTTAAAAAATTGTTTTAAACTTGGAAAACCAATTTTATGATGAAATGATATATACATTTAGGCATTTGATTAAAAATCTTAGAGAGCCATCAAAAATCTACCATAAATAGCAAAATTCAGCGATAAGAGGATTGGCAGAGATGTGAATAATTGACGTTATGCAGGCACAAAATCATTTATTAGCAAGCCAAGTTTCATAAAAGCTGGCTATCATATAGGGCTTAAAAGCAGAACTAACCCAGGAAATTGACAAAGAATTAGATTATTATTACTCACGATAGAAAATATTTTGGCAGTGCAAACCAGGAAACGAGCACCGAAATGAAATTTTAGAGTCCGGAATATAAGTGATGCAAGACTGAATGAAAGCTTTGCAAATGTTCTCATTTTGGATCTGGCATAGGATAATTTTTACATATAATCAAACCTTAGTGATAGAGTAAGCAAGGGGTACGTCTTAGATATAAAGACCAAGATGATGTGGCCTTCTGTTTGATCGCAGTTTCCTTTAGCTGTATAGCAGTGATTTTCGCAACTTGGAACGTAGCTAATCCTGCGTCCTTTGCCATAGTATTCGTGATTCCCAGTATCAGACCATTAGCTTGGTACACATTCCCAGACACTTCGCCGGCATCGTCATTGAGAGGCGCCATTGTTAGCACAGTTAAAACTTTGATAAGTTGTACAAAAGATCCTCTCTCATAAAATTAGAGATAATTAGGATTCGTTACCCCATAATGACATGGCAAAACTCATTCTTATTACACATGTCAATGTTCTAAGTGTGCCACTTTTCTATACATCACTTCTTCCTGCTTCTTATTTCCACTATAGCAAACTCTGCTGGACCTCCGCTCGGCCGCGCTCACTCGCATCAAAGCCAAAGCATAGTTCTCCAACGACTGTCAGTAAATCATCCTCCACAATGGCATTTGTTTCGCAGCATCGCGGACTTATTTCGAATCAACGCATCGTCCCTGTGCAGCCCCTCACGATAACACAAAAAAGTACATCTCGATTGCTCGGGTGCGGTCCTCTCGCCTTCTTAAGCGCACCCCAAACCGTGTCCATAAGTTAACTCTTTTGTCTTACAACTACCTAACTCACACAAATAAAAAATAAGTACATACTGTTCAATAAATTCTCCTATCTTCTATCTTTGGTCTCCGGACCCTCACATATTCTTGTAGGAGCATGTCGCAAAAACCTTGGTTATTGCTTTACAAATGTAAGGAACATTTTGAGCTTCGCAAGCTTAATGAAATTAATTTAAATTTTGTAACGTTTTTGAAAGTAATGCCTGAGAGCCATATGACAGAAATTAATGAAATATTCAAATTTCTTAGTTGCCCCAAAAAACTGAGGCATATGTCTCGCATGTCATTCCGATATATATGTAACAGGAACACTTTATTGTATTTTGTCAGGTAATGAACTTCGTTAATTATATAGCAAAAAAGAACACCAATATTGTCTACCTTTTGAAATAAAATTATGCGTAAAACAAACCTGTCTTATTATTTGACGAGCCAGAGACTGTAAGGTAGGAGGCGGAGGAAGTTGATAAACAAGCAAAATCTCTCCTCTCTTTGCCCCATTTACTGCTCCATTATGTGCGACAGAAACGCAATTAGTGATAGAACGAGAGTCTTTTGTTTGATTAAGTAAAGTATCCGGCCTGGACGAGTCCCGTTGAAGCCCGGCCTTTAAAGCTGATGAATGACATAACCAGAAAGAAGAAGAAGTATTTCCCATGGCTCCAGGGGAGATTATATTGGCAGATGCACGTGGATTTATGGAGGATCTAGTGCTGATTGTCGACCTAGAGATAGAAGTGACTTGAGTATAGACAGAATGTTTTGTAGGAAGACTAATGAGAGGCTTGCTATAGAGCTTGGAGAAGTGGGAAGATCCTGAATTTTGTGTAGAGTGGGATGTCTGGATATTTGAATAAGAGTATAGATAAAGAAATGCTATGTAAGAAAAATGATAGCAAAATCGTTTATATAAAACTCATGTTATAATCATAAGCCAATATTTGTCACTAAATGATTAATAAAGTGTTCACCAGGCAAAATACTGCAAGATGAAGAATGTACAAGAAAAAGAGAGAACGTATATTCAGAAAAAAATATTATGGAATAGCCTATGTGTACTTTTGGGTTGCGAATAATAAAGACAATGTGGATTATGAAAGTGTAGCTCTAATAAGGCAACTCAGATACTACTTTAAGAAAAGCAAATTGAAATAGCTGCGTCACAGGCGAGAATTAATAAAGTATATGTAGCTAATTTAAAATTAGG